CGTCGAATAAGATCTTCATAGAAACCATAAATCCTATTCACAATCACTGTTTCGTGATTACCCCGCAGGAGTAGAAAGTTCTCAGGAAATTTCAACTATAGTTTCCTTTGTCTTTGAGGTAGTGTTTTAAATCTAGTTAAAAAGATTGATACCTTAATCAAAAGCAAAAACATGATTGTCTCAATGCTCCATCGACCACGATCGATGTAATCTCCAAGAAACAAGTAGTTCACTGTGGGTGGCCATCCAACCTAGAAAACTTCTACATTAATTCCTTCTTCAGTGAATGTCAGTAAATTTTAATCTCGACCATATTGAATATCCTAATCAAGTCGCTCAATTGGCCATGAATATCACCGCAGATATTTAGTGGCGCGATACATTCCAACATCATCGGCTGACTTGCGAACAGTTTCTTCGCCGCTATGGTCAAATCCATGATTTCCTAGGAGATGAGAGTTGTAATCCAGCTTTCTGGGAACCGAGGACGTGATTTGTTGTTAGCGAATAAAGCTTTTATTCGGCTCTCATAAGTTATGACGTTTGTTTCAATTAAATATTCAGTTTGAAACGTTTTGGTATTATAATATAGGTCATCTTAAAAGGAGTGTTTGTTCTACGGGATAGCATATTCTAAGTGTAATTTATGAAAGTGCTCGAAGTATGTGTGAATTGTTTAGAGAAGCGATGCCTGTTCGGATGGCTCAAAATTGGTCTCAACAATTCAAAGATGACAGATTTTACCTCAAGACACATCTCGCCCTGCTTTGTTTGATGAGAAGCGGCTTTCTTTCCTCGCACTTACCACGTTTACCGTGGGTCTTTCGAGTTAATCCCTTCCAATATGTTCCGTCTGAGGCATAGCGTTCGTCTATCCTGAGGTTTCTCAAGTTTGATCTCATGCTATCTATCCATCTTGTTTTTTGATGCTATTTATCCATCTTGTTTTTAGTCTTCCTCGTGGTTTTGTTAATTAGCGCTTCAACTGAGAGCGCCTCCTTACTATATGCTTCTCCTCTATGCTATCCATAGCGTCTACCACTCCTGCATCTTCTGGACAATTGGAAATAACTTCATTTGCGATCTGAATATGCTGCTACAAATGTGGTCGTTTCCATCGCAGCATCCTAATCTCATAACACCTTATTCTATTTCTTTCGCGTGCTCGGCTAACATTCATTGCCATGCAATGCTGCGGAGGGATTACAGTACGACATATTTGTGATTTTCGAGTGTAAGGCAATCGTTTGCCGCAGAGGACCCCTGTCAGATACCTCCACTTCAACAGTCTGCACTTGTTGTGGCCGACAGTTCGTCCTCGATCCCTCTTTTGGCAGATACGAGCTTTCTCAGTATTTGGACGACTTCGTTTTCCTTATTGCATATGGTTTTTAAGCTCATCTCTATGTATTTGTTTCTCCACTTGAGCTTCAAAGCGTGCCCAGTTGGTTTTCATCTTCTACAACTCTTCTTCAATGTTTTCCTACTCTCCGCCGTCAAGACTACATCATCTAGGTGGAGGGAAGTCCATGGCGGTTGTCTGCGGAGACCTTCCGTGAGCATGCATCACTATGATATGCAGCGAGAGCGCCGAACCTCGAAGGATTCTGACATTAATGCAGAATATTCTTTTTCCCTTTCCCTGTACACTTCCATCACTATCCGGGATGGTGTCCAGTAGTAGAATCCTCTGCAAATGCGCACTGACCAACTCTGTAATCTTCCAAAGTCGTGTTTCGGGTATTCTCTGGAAGTTCTTCAAAATACTGGTCAGCTAGATTGGCATGTTGTAATCTGCGATATCACTTTTGTTCTTCCATATTTGGAATTTTGGAATCGTTGTGCTAGTGGACCAAGTCGAGGAATTTCCTCAATCTTGACGACTTTATTTTTATTGAAGAGATTTGAAAGCCAATAACGCTGAGCTGTCTACACTCCTTCGAGAACTCGCTGATTCGTCTGGACCACTTGCCTTAGGGCTCTTTGTTTTGATTATTGCCATCCAAACTTCATCTTCTGTAATAAGATACTGGTCCTATTTTATTTTATGCCAGTTTTGCTAACAGCGGATGCTATCTATTAAGTCCTCCACCTATCCATGATTTCTGCGCTCTTCTCAAAATTTTTCCAAGGTTGTCTTGATTCGATAGAAGCTCCATATCCTTTGTGGAATTCCCTCCTTCGCGCGATTCGATATACTTCTCGTTCTCCATCTCAAATTTCCAAGTTCTCGAAAGCTCCGCTATGTACTATTTAGCTTTCCCCACTCTACACTTCCCCTGCTGGTATTTCTGGTACCTGCTTCCAGATCCGATTGAAGCCTTTGTTTGCAGCACACCTCTTCTCTTCTATTACTGCCTGCACTTATAATTCCACCACAAATTCTCTATATCTATTCTCGATCTCTCTGGCTTTGTGCAACCAGAACGATTCTCGCCATCTGACGGAGACTGGTTCAGGGCTGACCAGGACAGCTGCATCTTCCACATTGCTGCAGTAGGGTTGCTACATGTCCTCAAATTTTTACCATTTATTAATGCATGTTTGCATTATTTTTTCCTTCGGCTATCAACAGGCATTTTGATATTGTCGAGAAGAGGTTTGCATTGAGGTATGCAGCTTTCACTTATGATTACTCCGCTCTTTTACATTTTGGAGCTCGTTTCGCCTTACCCAAAATATGTTCAGTTCACTGCTTTTTGATTGTTCGCTAACACAAGGTCGAGGGTGTAGCAAACTCGAGAATGCGTTCGCCCTCTTCATTGCATATTCCATGTTTGTGAGCCCATGGTAATTTAATGCATTATTTCGTCCTACCTATGTCCGTTCAGGCTCCTCCAGGTAGCAAATCATTTTGTTGTGCTGATCTGATATGACAGCAAGCTCCTGCCAGAAGGCATTATTCTCTTCTTCTTTGCATCCCACTCAAAATGCACGATTATAACAAACAGTATACCCTTTTCCCAGCGTCGACCTTTAGGCTCATAAGTTGGTCGTTTGCTCGCTTAACTCCAGCTATTGCGCTTCTCAAAGTTTAGAGACAGTTGTACCAACACCATTCTCATTGCTGCTTGTACCATTGTAGAGTAGCTTATAACCATCTCCGATGTCGCGTTACCTCCCACCTTTCTATTTTATTTCCTGTACAGGTTATACCCACTCCTCGTCTTTTTAGAACTCACGATATCGTCCAGAAGTCCCCATATTGATTGAGGCTAATCAGAGTTCTAATTTTGAATATTGTCTTGAAAGGGCAGCTTTCCTACTCATCCCCCTGCATAAGACGACAGACCTCGCTTAATATTTGCACCCGTCGGGCTCGTGTGCACTTCGCTTTAAGATCATATGGCCTTTGCTCGGAAATCGCAGTTTAGTTGGTTTAAGATGTGATGAGG